ATCTAAAGTCTTTTTCCAAACTCAAACTCTTAGAAAAAAACATGGAAAAATAAATAAACCAAACTCGGGCTATGTCACTTCAGCGTCCTAATAAGCATTCTCATCGTCAATTATTTTCACTTTTTTAAAAAACACAACTACTACTTCGACTGAACTTTAATCTGAGAAAACAATAAATAGACTGAACTATACTTATATAAACAGAAAAAATAAATTACCATACATTAACTTACAATTATATGAAATTATTTGAAAATAAACAATCAAAACAATATGGATTAATAAATAAATCCAAAACAAAGAAATATGTTAGTACTAGGCAATTCAGAATATATGACGGTAATATACATATATAGGACTATAAAGAATAATTTGAGAGAGGAAAACAATTATATAAGGGAACCCGATAAAAAAACCCAAACAGAAAATTTATGTATTGAATCAGATTCAGAAGATTTTCTTATTTAAAGTCTCTTCACAAACTCTAAATAAGTTGGGTAAGGAGACATTTTGTGAACATACTAGAAAATTCGAAAATTTTAGGAAATGAATAAAAAAATATAAATTTTTAATTTTTAAATGGGTAAGGATAATTCGTATAGCTAATCTCATATTCCTCCAGTATCTGTTTGATTAAATTAATGATCTCAAATGGATAATATTTGAATAGAATTGAAAATGTGACAGAAAATTTAAGACGAAGTCATATGAGAAATAAAAGTTCATCTCAAAATGCTCAAGGTTACAAAAACATATAAAAATAAGTGAGACACTCGTGTAATGCGAATTATGACCTAGTTAAAATTAAACATACATAGTAACATATACTCAACAGTACACTATTGTCTCTCCACGAGTCTATACAGTATTTTCAGGTGCAGATTATTATGGGCCAATAAATTTAACAGCCCACTTGAATAAAAGTTTTTTAATATACATAGTTAATTGTAATATTTAAATATTGATTAGTTTTTTTAAATATTGGTATATTTGTATATATATATATTGTTTTAATATTTCACAAACTTCTTTCTGAAATCAATGTATTTTAAAACTTTTTATATTTATAATGCTTGTAATAATATATAATCACAAATATAAAATTTATGTAAAATAATAATTAAATTTTTATAATATTTTTTGAATATTTTTACAATATGTTTTATTTCTCCTTACACAATCTACAATATATTTTTTTGCGTCTTATATAATATGAATTTGCAAATACATATATAATATATTTAAGTATATATATTTTTTGATTTATTGCAAATTAAACTGAAATAGTTTTTACCATTTTTACTTATTCCTAAGAGCGAATAGATGATTGGCACGCATGTACGAGCATACCAACCACTTCACTACACTTAGAATAGATAATTTTTAAAAACAAATATAAATTGTTTTATAATTACAATAAAAATTAGACTGTAATCAATCTTAACAAAATACTTGCACGGAAAAGTTTGCATGTGACTTCAACTAATGTACGATTAATATTTATGTATGTACGCGTATTTGTAAAAAAATAAAATATGGCTCTTACGTGTTAAAAAGTTTTTAAGTGACTTTGTAAAACAAAGTACGAGAGATTTACTTTTATATACTTTTATTTTTATTTCTGATTCATATTTTTTCATCTTATTATAATTTATTTTTTCATTCGGTTATTTTTTATTTCATTTATGATTTCAAAATTTTTATATACAATGAAAATAAATTTATGATATAAAATTTTATTTTTATTTAAAATATGATAAGAGATAATATGAGATGGTAACATAAGTTATGTACATTTTAGAAAACAACAATAAAAAGATGATAAAAGATATAGAAAAATATATGGTCCTATTAATATTATAAAATAATAATTAGTATATACTTTATTCAATTAATAAACATTGGTTTGAAAATAATATTATTTAAAATTATGTTTTTTAAAACATTTCAATAAAAAATAATTATTTTATTTTTTTACATTTTATTCTTTATATTATTTTTATCATGATTATATTTTATTTAAAATTGTATTATTTAATAATTGTTTTATTTAAAACTTGTTTAGATGTTATGAATATATTTTGTAAATTAATAACTTTCCGATATAAAAATATATCATACTTCAAGTATTGTTAATAAATAGAATTTTTACTATTCTATTGGATAATTTAGTATTATTATTTTATTTTTATATGAAATTATAATATATATATATATTGTTGAAAAAATTTGGTAATTATATTTTATGAAATTATGAATATATGTAAAAAATTTGAAATTATAATAACTTTTATTTTCTGTTAATTTAAATTTGTTAATTTTAGTGTTAATATAATCTAGTTTATTTATGTTTTAATTCCACAACTATAGTTTTAATTCAACCAATCTAAAAATTTCGTTTATTTTAGGAATTTTGACATGTCACATTTACATGTCATCAATTAAAAGCACGGCTGTAGTGTTGATAAGTAAGCTATTTTCAATAATGTTACTTCTCAAATAATATGTAGTGGATTGATAAACATTTTTAGAGATTAACCTCACATTTGTAAGTAATTACAGTGGTGCCATTTTGCTGATGTGTCATCACCATAGAACTTCTCAGAAATTAAAAAAAAAATTTGTTACTAGAACAATTATATCATATGCCATTCATATTAATTAGTTAGACCATAATTTATATCAATTATATATATATATATACATAAATTTGCATTTAATTATATATATTTTTCTATCAATTATTTACCAAAAATAGTATCATACTAATTATTTCTTTACACTATGTTTCTTCTCTTGCTTTTATTTAAATTCTTTTTTTTTGTAAAATGAATAAATCATCACATCATTTACATAGTAAAAAATATATAGATTTTTGATCCATGTATTATAATTTGAATTTTTTTAAACGAATATAAATAGCTCAAATGAGCAATAAATATAATTATAATCACATATTGGAAATGAGAAGATGTTGATGGTTTAAAAATTATTATTAAAAATTATAACGAATAATTATTTTTTTATAAAAGGACGAAGCTTGATTTAGTAAACATCAATATTTATAAGTATTCTTTTGCTTAATATTTTTTTTTAATAGAATCATATAAATTAACCAAATAATATGAATATTAAAATTTGATAAAAAAAAGTTAAAAAAATATATATATCAAATAGTCGAAATAGTTATAAATAATTTGATGTGTTAAGTAATTACAATATTATAAATAATTATGTTTGATTAAAAGTTATATATTCTAATTTTTTGTTTAATCAATAAAATAATCTGATGTAAAAAATGAAAATACTATTTTCTCAAGATTATATTATAATTTGATCAATATTATTTTATACTATAAATATTTTTATTGGATCAATAAGTTAAGAGTTATTAATATTGAATCTCTTATATATAATTTAGATAACTGATCAATAGTATTAAACTGAGAAATATACAAAATTAGTATTAAACTAATTTTATATATTTTTATGTATATTTAATATTTTGAATTTTTTTTGTAATTATTTGCGTTTTTTTATAATTTTGATGTTTTTAGTACAACAGTGTTTATGGGTTATACTACTTATGTAATTATATTCATATAAAAATAATATTAAAATTAATTATAAAATTTTATAAACAAATATTATTGTTACTTATAATATTATACACATATATAATTAAATTATTTCATTTTAAATAATTTAGAAATTATGTTAATAAAATTGTTTATAGATTTTTTATTCTGCCCATAGTACAGGTTATTACCTAGTTTAGATTTATTCAGTATGAGCTTTATAACGTTCCTTTTCACCACAAATCTTAAGAACTCCCATTTCTGTGAATCGAGCTTTGATTTATTCATTATCAGTTACGTTTTTTTGATCCTTTTGATTTCGAGATTGGATCTTCATATTCGTTCTTAGTAATTGCTTCGGATTTTCCAGACTGGCGGTACTTTTGGAGGTTTTATACGGGATTCACTGGTGACTTTTTTTTTTGTAGATTTAGTGAGATCTTGTTTGCTAATTTTTTGCAAGATCCTGGATGTGGCAAAAGATTTTAAAATACAGAGAAGTGGCAAGGCGGTTTCATAAGGTGGAGGTGAGGGATGGTGCTCAAACCTCATTTTGGTATGATGCCATTCTAAGGTTGGACGTTTAATTGACGTAACATGGCCTGCGTGGCTGCATTGACATGGGGATTCAAATCAATGACATTGTTGCTTTGGCCTTGTTTAAAAGAAGGAGACAACACAGATTGCCAAAGTATTCTTTCTTCGTTTGACTTGCGGTACACAATTGACTATCCACATGCGATCGCATGCTTGTCTGGAATCCGGGAGTTACTACATCATGCGTCCTCTGCCAGGATCCTATGGAGAAAAGAGATCATCTGTTTTTCTACTGAAATATGGACAAACCTTGCCAAGAGCTTGCTCAAAGCTAATTTCTCAACTAACTGGTCAGCCATACTCCACCTCATCTCAAATGCTTCTCATGATAGACTTCTCACTTTCCTTATAAAGTATGTGTTCCAAGTAACTATACATAGTCTATAGAGGGAGATAAATGCTAGGAGACATGGCATCACACCATCTCTTTCTACTACTATCGTAAAGACCAACGACAAGCAAGTGCAACGACAAGCAAGTGCAAAACAGATTTCTATCAATACGAGCCTTGTGAGACCACAAGTACGAGGAGGGCCTACAACTATGGTTTGCTTCAAACATCTAATTTTTTTTTTATTTTTGGTTCCTCTTCAATTTAAAAGTTTACAGAAATCTAAATTTCAGCAAATAGGTAGAACACTCTTCTTCATAATGCATTAGTTCGTAAAAAGGTTTTTTGGTTTGAATAAACCTAAAAAGCAAGAAGCCAAAAACGATTTTATGATCTAAATGAGTTGGAAACCCTTAAAACTCCAAAATAAATCCAATTTCTTTTTCTTCTTTTTAAGCGTTTGGAAACAATCTTCTTTGGATATCTTTTTGGTGGTTGTCTTCTTGCTTTTGGGATTATTCAAACGAAAAACGAGCGTTGCTCTTCCAAAACGATTTAATTAATGATCTAAGGGAGCTGGAAATGACTATTTTGTCCTTATTCCCTTATCGTCTTTATCCGCTTATCCAACTTTTCTTTTTCCATTGACGAGGAGAAGATTTTTTTTTTTCCAATTTTCCAGGTCAAATTTGCTTCTCATACGGAGAAGATTCTTTACGGGTTCGCTTTTTTTCTCTTCGCCGCCGATTGATCTGGTTGAAGAGAAGTTTACTACGGCGACGATGTCGACGATCTCGATCCACCGGACTGAATTACTTAGAATCACGCACAATCGCTCGCGAATTTGCCGGCAAAGATATCGGAGAACCATACCTCCTTGGAGAATGTGAGTCCGCAACGTCCCTTTCTTCGTCCCCTTGTTTTTCCCCTTATTCCAAAAGTTTTTGAATTACATTGACTAAATTTAACCAACACAGGACGATCAATTCGACGTCTTCTGATACATCTAAGAAGGAAGAACTATCTGTGCAGATAACAAATTCGCCTACGATTCCTCAAGTTGATCAATTAAGACCTGAGGGTTTGAGATTCGACCGTTTGCAGCCGCCGGAGTTTGTTCAGGAAGATAGATTGGAATTTGGTAAATTCGTAGCACGAGGAGCCGTTCTTGATGAGGAGTTCTGGGTAATTGCTTCAGTTCTTGATTAGGAGACGAACTTTTTTTGTTTAGTTTTCTTCTTGAGATTGATTACTTTATGTTGGTTCGAGTTTGTGATTAGACAGCAGCTTGGCTACGTGCAGAGAGTCATTGGGAAGATCGTGCCACTGAAAGGTAAAGCCAAAGAATAATATTCAGGTGTTATCATTGCAAGTAATGTGTATATCAATTCTTTCTATTGATAGCAATCTTGTAAGTAAACAAATGATCTGAAACCTGAATTGTTGTAGTAAGTGTCTTTGATTATAATTTTCTTTTACAAACGCAGATATGTTGATAACTTCAAGAGAAAATATGCAGAGCAGGTAGTACTTTTAATCGATTTTTTTTCATTTTTATCTCTTTCCTTAAATGGGGGAAAATTTCCTAAATTAGTTACTATTTCAATGGTTTCAGGAGTTTAACGACATCAAGAGAAGATGCAAAGGCTTGCAAGGGCAGAAATGCTTATGTATCGTTGCGGTATAATATATATTTTTCTCGCATCATTGTCTAGCTTTCTGTTACATTTATTTGGAAGGTTTGCATTTATCAGCTATATCGTTATTGCATTCATCAGGTGAAGAAGGAAGAGAGACACATTAAACGTTCAGTGATCAGAAGTGTTGTTGGGACGCTTGATTTGAGCATTCGGTTCTTCTTTCAAGGAGAGACCTTTCCTGGGGTAATCATATTTCTTTTTCGGTTTGAGATTCGATTTCTTGCCTTTGTCCTCTTAATAAGTTTTACATTATGTGCAGGAAAAGTTAAAGTCTCAATTGTTCTGCAGCTTGAACCGGGAAGGATCAAATAGGTATGGTTACATTGCTAATCTGTGTGTTGCGAAATCAGCACGACGCCAGGGCATTGCTTGCAACATGTTACGTTTCACTGTCGAATTAGCCAGATTGAGTGGTAATAATAATGTTTAAATAAGTTGAACATTTGGAGGAGGAGGAATGTAAACCATGTGTGGGATGTATTTGGTTTGTGCAGGAGTTGAACAAGTATATGTTCATGTACATAGAAACAATTCAGTTGCTCAGGAACTATATAAGAAGACCGGTTTCAAGGTAAAAAAACCTCAAAATTCAGTTCTCTGAAATCTGATTCTTCCCGACCTGACACGTGTGTTTTGTTATTGAACCAGATCGTTGAAACGGGACAATCTGAATCAACATACCTTCTCCAATACACAAGATGACTCACAAGAAAAGATGTATATTCTCTCTGCCCTTTCTTAAACTTTTTATTTTGGAGAATGGGAGAGATTCAACACGCAGAAGAAGTTATTGATGGCTACATCTCGTGGGTAAGCTCAAAATTGTTACATACATTTGTTTGTCATGTAAAATTTAGTGAAGTGTGTATGTGTGTGTGCAGTATGTTAAGTCCATGTTTCATCTACGATTGTGCAAGTTTTACAGAGAAATATACATTAAGCTTTTGTTTTAAAACGCTTGCACTCTTACATTAGTAAAATTCATGTCGAATTCATTTGATTAAAAACCCAAACCGGAATGTGATCCAAAATTTATTTGTTTCTGTATAAAAAATTGTAAACTGAGCTTGAAAACTTGAGAGCTTTTGAAAATTAGTTTCAATTAGATCACAAAACCAAAATCTTACCGATCCAATATGATTAACTAAAGACAAAAAAAACACATGTTTGTAAGCTAAAACTTGAAAGCAGAAGGAGAAACACATGTTTGTAAGCTAAAAATTGAAAGCAGAGGGAGAATGTTGGAATTTCTTGTTTGATTACAAATTACAAATTACAAAACCCAAACTATTACCGAGTTAATTAATAAAAGTAAAAGCTGCATCGGTTACTTTACCAAGATACCATGATTGTATAAAATGCATGTGTTGTTTTATCTTGGAGCTCTTTGTAGAAAAAAAGTGTTTGAAATGTTGAATCTTTAAGTTAAGGTGTGTACAATATTTTTCTATATTTGAATCCGTTGTTCAATTATTCAACGAGGTTTGGATTATAAGATACAAAAACAAGAACGAAAAATCTGAACCAAACCGAATGTACTACTTTTTTGGCACATTGTTGATCAGATCAATTTAATATGGTTAGATCGTATTCACAGTAAATTTGAATGTAGTTAAACCAGATTTCGCATTTACGGTTACCAGATCAGGAATAGAAATTTGAACCAAACCGACTCATCAAAATTTGAATCAAAGGAATATTAGAGGGCATTGGGCTACCCATTATTTATCAGAATGGGTTCTTTTGGCTTTTTCTTCTAAAAAATTACATTCGATGGTCTCAGATAACCTCACAATCACAATTAAGTGAGAGCAAAAGTTCATATAACTCGACAATTATGTGAGAGTAAAAGTTCATTTATCTTTCTTCGTACTTAGATAAAAATATCTTTATTACACTTTCTCTTTCTTTCTAATGAACATAAATGATCTTTATCTCATCTTTAACTTTAATCAAATAAGACAAAGATGAATTACATTTTTTGAAAAGTTTTTTTTTTCAATTCTCCTTGCGGTTTTTCAATAACGCTTACTGAAATCATGGCGGCTCGTCCTTTTTTGGAAATGGTGGTTGTCGGTGATGATGGTGTTATCAATGATGGTGGTGGTGTTGTTGTCGATAGTGGTGGTGGTCAGTGGTGGTGATAATGTCGTCGGTGATGGTGGTGGTGGTCGATAATGATGGTGGTGTTGGTGTTGGTGTTATTGGTGGTGGTGGTGGTCAGTAGTGGTAATGGTGTTGTCGATGGTGGTGGTGGTGGTGGTGGTGGAAGATGGTGATGTGGGTGGATGACACTAACAATAATGTTAACACGATAATTATCATGCTCACAATGTTAGTATGATAAGTTTTTGATATGATAACATTATTAACATGATAGTTATCATGCTCACAAGTTAGTATGATAATTTTTTTAATATGATAACATTGTTAACATGATAATTTTGCATAACTTATACAGTTAACAAAGTTAACACGATATTTATACAATATGCTAATCGAGTATCATACTAGTCAGCACAATTAACACAGTTAGCATAATACCATATTAGTTAGCATGATAACCGAGTTGTTATCCATCCAAACCGCATCAAATAAGTTTAGGGACAAAATAGTCATAATTATCATATATAATATGTATCAATCTAATTTTTAATTATTGGCTCCATTTTTTAATTGTCAAATTATTTTGGACCATTTACTAAATTTTCCTTTTTCTTCTTCTTCCAGTGCAGAAAAACAAAAAAAAATTCTTCTTTGATGAAAACCTGTTTTCTAAAAAGTGGATTAGGAAAAACCCATTGTGACTAATTTTCATAAAGCTGTCACTAATTTTTGAATATATTCATACAACTGTCATTAATTTTCATAAAACTTTCACTAATTTTCATAAAACTTTCACTAATTTTTGAACATTATTGTGTGAGAAATGAGTTTTCTTACGTGTTGGCTCAGACGAGCTGTTCTTATGTGTTGCTCACATTATTGTTCTTATGTATGAGTGTGTGTGTATGTGTTTAGCTACAATCTTAAGTGTGTGTGTGTTAACCATGACTAAGTATGTGTATGTGTTTAGCTACCGTGAGTTAGTATGTTATTGTTTTTAAGTGTGAGTGTGTATTGTTTTGTTTTTGTTGTTTTGATAGATCATGACATACCACCATGAGCTGTTAGATCTATAAGCTCTTCAGATCCTAAATCGCCACCAAGAGCTGTTGGATCTACAAGTGCTACAGGTCCTTCCATGCCAGGAAGGGCTGCATCTTCAGGTGCTAATAACTACAACTGTATGACCCTAGAAGCATTAATGAATGCTCCCTCCATAGAGCTTCAGCCACACCTCTATCCAAGGAAACTCAATGGTGCTTTATGGCAAGTTTTCTACAAAATCGAGTCATCTTCTTTCTTCTTATAATGTATTGTCATCTACCTACTCAATCACAATAAATAAAATAATATATAAATATAATGAAATGAACAGCATCTCATTCTTTCAAAAATTTATTTTTTTTCCTAATAATTATATAAAAACTAGGTAATAACATTTATCGTTAAGAATAAAAAATAATAAATAATTTTACTAAAAATAATTTTAAATTTTTTAAAAAACAAGAAAATTTAGAGAAAATGTTCCAAAATAACTTATAATAAGAAAGTAATGTGAAATAGGTACTTCATTAAAGGAAAATTGTAAGAAAAAACCTTATTTTACGGTTTTTGTAAATACCAGCGCTACCTTCCAACTACTTTTACTTGTAGCCTAACGGCAGACTAATGTTAGACAGAAGAATGCAGACTAGTGACAGATTGATTGGTCATACAATTGAATGTAGACTATTGGCAGACTCTTGGTAGACTAATGACAGACTAACGATAAATTAAAAGTACACTAGTTGACCCTTCTTATGGATCATTTTAGGAAGGATCATGTTTTGAAATACAATTGCCAACTGGTTTTGATGTAAGACTCAAGCCTAGTTCAACTAAACCAGCCAAACAATGGAACCTTGGAGCTAATGATGGTGCAGAACAGCTTGTAGCTGTGGAGAAAGGAGGCTTTGTAGCTGAGGATGGAGCAGCTAAGGACTTAGCCATCAAACGACATCACTCTATACATCAAGAGGGACGTTTTGGTCGAGACCCACTGGTTCGAATTAAATCAGAAGATATCTCACCTAAATCGCTGAAGCTAACCGAGGAGCTAATTATGGAAACTTCGCATATACATCCTCCCAACATGATATGCGACCGACCATCATTATTTACTGGAGTTAATCAACGTCCTAAACCACTAGAAGGAGTCAATAACCACGCTCAATCATGCCAAACCAAAGAAGAACCGCCCCTTTCCTTACATGGACCCATTGGACCATTATTTCATTCATACAAGGAAAACTCGGATATATGTCATTCAGAGACATTATATTCGCCCCACACCACTTCCACAGAAGCTTACAAGAGCCTTACCACACCAGAACCATTCATTAATCGCCCCATTCCATCAGAAGTCAAAGAAGACTACATTAAGGAGAAACTTTCCTCATTTGAAGATCACAACTCATATCTAATCAAGTCTGAAGATCAACGACCAGCTTTACTACTTAATCTCGGCCATTCATCATCACTAGAAAATCCAGCACATTCATTTCACGCCAAGGAATCATCACAACCTCCCCATTCATTGCCAAAGTCAAGGATATGCACATTAAAGCCTAATGGCTAGGAAAATGGAGCCAAGAACAAATCCCCTCTTTCATGCTTTTGTTTTACTTAGTTACCGTTTATTTCTCTCTTTTGAGTATTACATAAACTCATTTACATTTTATTTTCAAACCACGAAATTATCAATAAAAGAAAGTTATTTTTGTTTCAAAGAAAAGTACCTCTTTGCATACAAATTGTTCCTGCTTTTTATTAAGTTCTTTTTGAGGGATTCAAATAACTTGTGAGAAGTGTAGAATCTCCTAAGCTCTTGTGAGGATTATCCCTTGAGCTGAGAAGAATCTAACCCTTGGTGTTTGAGGTCATCAAACATCAACAAGGCTACAAAACCATCAGTCTTTTTTCCGTTCTATCCAGCTTGAAGCAACAGATTCTAAGGCACATTCATTGAAGCAATTTGAGGCTTGTATCAGGTTTATTTCAAAATTATCCCTAAAATTTATTCTACTATCTTAACTATTATTTGAGAAGCATGTTTAATGAAAAAATTGGATATGTCATCACCTTAGCAAAAGTTAGTGTAAATTAATAGTGAGATGAAAATGTGATTTGACAAATTTCCTAAAATAAATGAAATGTTTTGATTGGCTAAATTATATAATTAAATAACTTATCAATTATAACATAAACACACTAGATTATAACATTAAAAATAATAAATTTATATTAACAGAAAATAATAAATTACTATGATTTGAATTTATTTTTACATATATTCATAATAAATTACATAAAATATGATTACGAAAATTTTACAACCAATATATATTTTATATTTTTATATAGAAAAATAATAATGGATTATCCAATAAGATAGTATATATGCTATATATTAATAATAGATTGCATAAAATATGATTACGAAAAATTTTATAACCAATATATATTTCATATTTTTATATAGAAAAATAACAATGGATTATCTAATAAGATAGTATATACGCTATATATTAATAATGTTGGGAGTATGATATATTATTATTTTTATATAATTTTTAATATTTTAATATTTTTGTTTTCTGGAATTTGTGTAGCTTACATTACCATCTCATTTTATCTCTTATCATTTTATCTTTTTGTTAATTAAATTAAAAGTTTATATTATACTCATATATAGTCTCATTGAAGATCAAGAATTTAAGATCAGAAATAAAACGCAATATAACTAGACGAAAAAATAAATTATAAATAGAAAAACAAATATGAATAAGAAGTAAAAGTAAAAATAAAAATAAATCTCTACAGTTTTATTTTTCCATAACATTCTCAAACTTTATTTTACGGAGTCATTTAAAAATTCTAAAAAGGAAATTTTATAACTAAAACTCATGTGTAGCTCAAATTTGATAAAGAATACATGCGTGCAGACCAACTATAAGAATATTATTTTCTTCATCAAACCAATTCCTCAATATTGGAAAAAGAGATGAGCGGAGAGCTACCGGAGAATTTTATAAAATATGATTTCACAAATTTTATAACAAATATTTATCATAAATTTTATTTGATATAATAAACATATCAATAAGAAGTAGAAGTAAAATTAAAAATGAATCTTTTTGACTTTGGTTTTCTGTAAAAATATCAGAATATGTCTTTGGCTTAAACTAAAGCATCTGTAATCCATCTTTATTTTAAATCTTCTAATTTAGATATTTTTCCTTCTATAAAAAGAGGAAAAAGTAACAATCTTTCTTTTTCCTTTAAAATAGAAATAGGTTGGAGAGAAATCTACCAATATTTTAGAGGAAAAAAAAAAAATACATTGTAGATGATCTTAATGTTTAATATCTTATTCAAGGTGAAGAAAAAAAAATATGAGTCAAGAGAGACAAAAAGTATAATTTTAATCGATTTTATGATTTTATTTTGAAATATTTATAAATATTATCTTACTGTTCGGGAGCAAATTTTGGGATGCCACGTGGGGGTGTATGATTCGTCGGAGGGATGGAGCTGTGCCTCCGAGTTTCATACCCTGGGGGGAAAGGCGGCGAGTCATTCTGGGGCGGAAGCCTTTTACACCGGGGTAACAGGTCAGTCGTCTTGTCTAGTCCTGTAAACACTCAAGGAATGGTCAGATGAGCCTCCGGTGGACCCAAAAGGGGGTTTTCCTCCCGAAGGTTCTCCGACGCCCAAGTCAATGAACATCCTACTGGGAACAAGTATCGAGAGGGGGGATTTCTATGGGTTAGTAGTGAGAAGTCTCGTACAGGGATCGAGGCATCTATCTGTTTTCGAGTGTTTCGAAGGGGATTCTATACGGTAAAAGAAGACATAGAGAATATAAAGGCAAGCTTTCATGTTAGGGATGACTCAACCTGATGGGCATTCACCTGGAAAGAACATGGAGTTCACCCGTGATCCTGCTGCTTGCCCGTGCCGACTGAATTCAGATATAAGGGGATACCTCCTCTTCTAAAGGGGTATTTGCTTATTCGATCAGTCGATCTCCTTCTGTGTGGTGATCTCTTCTTATTTATACTGGCAGACTCCTTGTCATGTCTCTTCCATCCGGTGCCAGGAGAGTAGGTGAAGGTAATGATTCTAGCGTGTTTGGGGAACTTCACCAACTGCCCTGTGATGAGGACATGGACCGTATGACCGTACCGGGTCGAGAAGATGACGGTAGCAACGACCAGCAGCCCGTACCGGTACGAAGGGAGCTGGACTCGAACACCATACCATCCGTACATGGCTCTCCCATGACGCGTTCTAAGACCAGGAGGTTGAGAGAGGGGTTTAACGAGGCAATACAAACTCTTTTGACCAACATGGACGTGGAGAACATACTTAGCCCCCAACCATTCTCCATTGCACCCGAACTAGACATTACCGAGGACTTTGCCAAGATGAGCCTCAAAGATGACCGTACTAGCATAAACCAAGGTATGAAAGTTTCTTTGACAGGAAATGGCGTTCAGAACATCAACAAACCCACCAAGACTGTACCAAAGCCGCGAGACACACCAAGTACAAGTATAGAAGCCGATAGAGCATCATTGGAGCAAGAAGATGGATCAAGCCCCGAACGTGGAGAACCTCATGAAGACATGTACCAGCTCGACTTCTACACTCACCAATATGAAGAGAACGTTGAGAAACTCGCCCCAACCGCACCAGAACAAGCAATACTCACCAATGTACCAAACAAGCATCAAGCGCGCCAAAACCAGGTATTCTCAATTTATACAATTTGTGCAGGTACTGAGGCTTGACTCAATGGTTCTTAAGCATCCCAACACGCCAAGGAATCACCAGTTCGAGCCACAAGCGATTAGGCTAAGTTTAGCTATTATTTTCTTTTTAGTTAAATGAACTTTCCATTTTCATGTATTTTTACCTTATGCGTTTTGTAGCTTTTTCTTTACTTTGTGTTGTCGTTTCTTTACTTTATTTCGGCTTTAGGGCTAGCTGACGAGCTGTTTATAAAGCTCTCCTGCAGCCTTGTATGATTTTTACCCTACATTATCAATAAAGACTGAACTTTCTTCCAAAAGCAATAGCCGCCGCTTTGCCTTTGTTCTTGCTTTGTTCTTGTTCGTGTGATTCGTGCAAGACCAAGTGTTGCTGTATCAGGGAGCCCTCCATCCTCTCTGTGGTGCCATCATTCCACTTCATTACTCCATTCATTCGATCCCTCAAGAGAGAGCGTCATAGCCAGCTTGACA